GGCCAGTGTGACCAACAGAAGTAAGGCTGAAGTGACTGAGTGTGGTGGCTCATGTCTGTAATCCCAGCATTTTGGAAAACAGAAGTGGGATGATCACTTGAGACCAGGAGTTCCATACCAGCCTGGGCAACACAGCAAGACCCCCATCTCTACAAAAAATTTAAAATAAAAGGCCAGGTGTAAGACATGCCTATAATCTTAGTTACTTGGGAAGATCACTTGAGCCCAGGAGGTTGAGGCTGCACTCTAGCCTGGGTGGCAGAACAAGACTCTGTCTCAAAAATAAAAATACTAAATAAAATAAAATTTTGGAGTCCAGTCACTCTGGGAACAAAAAAAATGTGGCTAAAGTGATAGTATATTACATGTAAGTCTTTATTATAGAGGCATTGCTGCTTCTGCTTTGATCTCTTAGATTGTTTCCCTTGAGGGAAGTCAGAGATCATGTTGTGGAGACATTCGAGCAGCCCTATAGAGAGGAACTGAAGCCTCTTGCCAACAACCAGTACCAACTGCCAGTCACATGGGCAAGTGACCCACCGTGGAAGGGGATCTTTCAGCTGTCATCAAGCCTGCAGATGACTGCACTTCTAGCTGACATCTCACTGCATTTTCCTGAGAGACCCTGAGCCAGAACCACCCAGTCACGCCACTTTGGAATTCCCAAGCCACAGACACCATGTGAGATAATAAATTAGTACTGTTTTAAGCCCCTGCATCTTGGGATGATTTGTTGCACAGCACTAGAAGAGTAATACAATTTTGGACCCCTAAACTCATGTATACTGAAACAGAAGGGATGCTTCCTAAGGAGTGGCCAGGTTGCTATTGGTGGGAAAACAGTACACGAATATTGGATTCCAAACAACCACTAAACTCAACAATGGGTGCTCTGCAAATGCTCGCTTGCTAGTGGACTGAAGTGCAAAGGAAGGTTACACTGATTCATCTGACTGCCTCAGAGTGTCTGGGCCAGGCAAGACTCAGACCCAGATGTTTCTATGTCTATGTATTTTCTATCTCCAACTATTGACAATTTTCTTTCTACTTAGCCCTAGACTTGGTTGGTTTTAAAAACCATGGAGGTCGGGCTTGGTGGTTCAGCTTATAATTCCAGCACTTTGGGAGGCCGAGGCTAGTGGATTGTCTGAGCCTGCAGGTTTGAGACCAGCCCAGGCAATTTAGTGAGACCTCATCTCTACAATAAAATTAAAAATTAGCTGGACATGATAGCACGCACCCGTAGTTCTGGCTACTTGGAAGGCTGAGGCGGAAGGATCATTGGAGTCCAGCAGGTCGACGCTGGGGTGGCCATGAGTGTGCCACTGCATTCCAGCCTGGGTGATGGAGTAAGACTCCAACTCAAAAAAAAAAAAGATGTTCATTATGCAGCTACCCTTGTTGATGAGGTGTGCTCCTCCTACCCCTGGCAGTTTCCCTCAACTGCCAATCCCACCCCCACTTCCCTGGCAGTTTCCCACTACTGCCAATCCCTTTCTAATAGTATTATAATTGTTCAAGGTTCATTTATGAATGAGAACATATGGTACTCTGTTCTTTGTTTCTGTGATAGATCACTAAGTAGGACAGACTCTAAATCCATCCAAGTGGCTGTGAAGTCCATATGTTTGTCCTTCTTTATGGCTGCATAATATTTTGTTGTGTATATATACCACATTTTTTAAATCCAGTCCAGTTTCTTTGGGCAACATGCAGTGCATACATTTCTTCCAGAAGTCCTATTTAAAATTTTTGCTGTACCAAGATCTGCTATGTGTGATTTCCTTCCAATCAATCACTAAGATACAGATTGTCTTTTCTGTGTGCCCAGTGTGTGTGGCGATGAGTAAAATAAATACACAGAGTTTCTGACACTTTTTCTATCCCTTCCATATATCAGTTTGCCTAAAAAGGTGACAGCAACAAAGGGAAGCATTCACCATTCTGACACACAGCTTGCAGCAATTGGCCATAGAATGCTTCCTGGGCTTAAGACCCCCTAAACCCGCCTCATGGAGCTTAGAAATGAAGTGTGGTAGGGGGGTTATGAAGACAGGCTCTGGAGCCAGACAAGGCTGGGTTCAAATATCCATTCTTACTAGTTTTTTTTTTTTTGAGTTGGAGTCTCACTCTGTCACCCAGACTGGAGTGCAGTGGCCGCTCCTGGCCACTGCAGCCTCGGCCTGCTGGGCTCCGGCTATCCTTCTGCCTCAGCCTTCCAAGTAGCTGGAACTACAGGTGCGCGCTACCACGCCCGGCTAATTTTTGATTTATTGTAGAGATGAGGTCTCACCAAGGTGCCCAGGCGGGTCTTGAACCCATGGGCTCAGGCAAACCACTCACCTCAGCCTCCCAAAGGCACAGGATTATGGGCTGAGCCACCGAGCCTGGCTCATTCTTACCAGTTTTATGACTCTGGTCTAGTTTCTAAACCTCTCTACAAAATGGGATAATAATCATTTCAACCTGTTACAATTCTCATAAAGAGTTAGGGAGCTAATATATGTAAAATACTTATTCCAGTGTGTAGGATGAAGTAAGGATAAGACAAATGAGGTCAATACTATCACAGTTGCCTTTACCTCTCTGCACCTCTACCTACTCTGCTGCAGACCTAGGGCTATGTGTATCCTCTCTGTGGCAGGCAGACTCTAAGATGGCACCCAGTGATACCCTTTGGTATTCAACCCCTGTGGGCAGGGCCTGTGACTTGCTTCTAACCAACAGAACATGACAAAGGTGATGTCACTTTCATAGTTAGGTCATAAGATTATGACTGCTGTCTTGCTAGCAGATTCTCCCTATTGTCTTTTATTTATTTTTATTTTTGTCTTTATTTTTGAGTCAGGGTCTTATTCTGTTGCCCAGGCTGGAGTGCAGTGGGACAATCATGGCTCACCACAACTTCAGCCTCCTGGGCTCAGGTGATCCTTCCACTTCAGCCTCCTGAAAAGCTGATACTACAGCCATGTGTCACCACACCCAGCTAATATTTTTTTTGTAGAGATGAGGTCTCATTATGTTGCCCAGGCTGCTCTTGAACTTCTGGACTCAGGCGATCCTCCCACCTCAGCCTCCCAAAATGCTGGGATTACAGGCATGAGCCACTGTGCCTGGCCTATTTTTTCATTTTTAGAGAAAGGATCTTGCTATGCTGCCCAAGCTGGATTTGAACTCCTAGGCACAAGCAATCCTCCTGCCTCAGCCATCCAAGTAGTTAGTACTACAATTATGCACTACCATGCCTGGCTTCCCTATTGCCTTCTCAGCTTGCATGCTTTGATGAAGCAGGCTGGCACAATGAAGAAGCCCATGTGACAAGCCTTTGGCCCAAATTCAGCTAGGAACTGAGGCCCTCAGTCCAACAACCCTCAAGGAATTGAATTTGGCTGACAGCCCTGTGAATCATGCTTGGAAACAGATTCTTATTGAGTTGAGCTTTCAGATAAGACTCTAGCCCTGGCTAATGTCTTAATAGTAGTCCATCTGCAATCAAGAATGCAGAGGAGCCAGCTAAGCCATCCCATACCCAGATTCTTGACCCACAGAAAATGTGGGATAGTACATGTTTGTTGTTGTAAACTGTAAGCTGTGTGTTGTTATAAGTCTGTGGTAATTTGTTACACATTGATACACAACTAATATATTATCTAACTCTTCTCATCCCATTTCTGGTTTAGATGCCATCTCCCCTACTGCCTTAGTGTCCCGCATTTATCAATTACTGCATAGCTTTTGGTTTTCTTGCACTCCCTACCTTGTAAGCTTCTTGAAGACAAGCACTGAAATAAGCATGCTTATCTCTCAGTGCAGACGGTAGGAGCTGGCATTAGGAGAGTGCTGAGTAATAGTTTATGATGCCCAGGGTTGAGTTATGTGCTCCATTAGAATCTTCCATAACACCCAAGTATTGATAGTGGTTATTTTTTGCACACTTACTGCCAGGCACGAGATGAAGCTAGGGATGCATACTTTTAACTAGCTTTCTATGATGATTCTGATCCATAGCCAAGTTTAGGGGCCACTAACCCTATACCACCTCAAACATTCTGTGGAAAAATTGCATCTTGCCCTTAAGATAGCTATACTCTAGATTTTATATATATATATATACACACACGCATACATATATATATAGAATACATACAGAAAATGCACAAATCTTAAATGTACAATATGACAAATTCTCCAAAGTGAACACATCTACATAGCTGCCACCAAAATGAAGACAGGATATGACCCAGCTTCACTTGCGGTCCCTCCCAGACCACCAAGCCCAGAGGTAACCATCATCTTAACACCATCACCACTCACGAGTTTTGCCTATTCTAGAACTTCCTATAAATTAAATTACAATCTGTACTTCTTATCAGCTCAACATCATGTTCATGCTTACGACTTGTTAAAACTTCTCTTCTAAACCAGGTTCGGTGGCTCAGCCCGTAATCCCGCGCCTTTGGGAGGCTGAGGTGAGTGGATTGCCTGAGCCGGCGGGTTTGAGACCCGCCTGGGCAGCGAGACCTCATCTCTACAATAAATCAAAAAATCAGCCGGGCGTGGTAGCGCATGCCTGTAATTCCGGCTACTTGGAAGGCTGAGGCGGAAGGATCGCCGGAGCCCAGCAGGTTGAGGCTGCGGTGGCCGGGAGCGGCCACTGCACTCCAGTCTGGGCAACAGAGTGAGACTCCAACTCAAAAAAAAAAACTTCTCTTCTAAATTAAATATGTAAAACGATGACTAAAAAGGCTGGGAAGTAAATGCAGCCTGGGTTTCTGAGAAGCCTTCTCAGGTACCATACTTGGATTTTCCAAGAGGTGGAATCATTTAACTTCCCCTTGGCTGACATTCTATCCTCTCTGCTAAAGCGGGAAGGGTGATAGGACAGGGTGGGGGGCGTGGCTACAGCCCGGCGGCTTCCTTGTGGGGGCGGAGTCTTCACATGGGGGCGTGGCCCGCCGACGGCCTTTGGCGTTGGGGGCGGGGCCAGGCCAAGGCTTCCTGTCTGCGCCTGCGGAATCGCCGTTTGACCCCGGAAGTACGGGAGCTCTGGGAGCTGTCACCGTGAACGACGGCGGCGGCGGCACAGCGCCGGTTGGGGGAGCAGCCGAGGTGAGTACGTGGCTAGGCCCTGCCGGATGCCGGGCACGGGGCCAGGGACGAGCGGCGGCTGTAGCTAGGACAACCTCAGTACCCCCACTTCCTGGCTTCCACGGCATGGCCGAGGCTTAAGCTGCTCCCTAGGCCGTGAACTACCCCCGCCCCGAGGCTGGGCCATCAGAAACGGGAGCTCCGGGTTCGATGCTCCGCCCCAGGGTGGCCTTGTCGAGCCAAGGTCTCCCCCGCACCTGGGGTTTCAGTTTCCTCAGGGTTCATTCATTTGTTCAACAGATATTTGTCGACCGCTTTCTACATGCCAGGCACAGATCTAGGCACTTGAGGATATGAAGGAAGACAGACAAGGCTCCTGCCTTCATGGACCTTATAGTCTAGTGGGAGGAGACAGTCAACGACAGTTAAAAATGCACAAGATAATTAAAGCTACGACAGTAACTGGTAGAGTGAATAGGCAGAGCTATCATTAACTCTCTAAAGACAGTAATTGTTTGAGACCGGAAAAGTAATGACAATCGGAGAAACTGAGAGCAGTAGCCCAGGGGATGCTCCCAGGGTATATTTTAACTGGTACTTGTACAGAGCTCCCCTCCTAAAGAAAGATCTTTCCTAACTTGGTTTTTTGCTGCCCTTCCCCACAGTGTTGTCAGCATACAATAGTGGGCGTAGACATAGTCATATTATTGTCCTTGCCCTTTTGGAACTTAAGATTCAGACATCGCCTAGTTAATCTCTATATTTTAGACAAAAACTTCAAATCTTCCTTGGCATCCCACCTCCCTTAAGTCAGGTGTCACTGTTAAATACTGCCATAGCCTCATGAGACTTACCTACACAGCATATGCATCATGGTATTGATTATTTTTTGTTTGTATGATTATTGGATATGTATCTGCCTTTCCAACAGAGACTTTGTGAAGGGCAGGAGCAGGTCTGCTATTTTCCCACCTTTATACTTGCTGGGCTTCAGTATCTGCCACATAGTAAGTTCTCAAAAATCTTTGACTGAATGAGATTATTAACACAGTATTTGATTTCTGGTGGTTCATAAGCAGTTTTTTCTGCCACCAGATTTCCATCATCCTTTTCTGATTACATCTCTCTCCTACTTAAATGACTTTTCACTGCCTTCAGATGAAGGGCTAAAGTCTTTAGCATAGCATTTGAGGGGTTTTTTTTTCTATTTTTCTTTTTTCTTTTTTTGAATTAGAGTTTCACTCTGATGCCCAGGCTGGAGTGCAGTGACACACTCACGGCCATCCCAGCATTGACTTGCTGGGTTCCGGTGATCCTTCTGCCTCAGCCTTCCAAGTAGCCGGAACTACAGGTGCATGCTACCATGCCTGGCAAATTTTCTTTTATATACTGTAGAGATGAGGTCTTGCCAAGTTGTCCTGGCTGGTCTTGAACCCGTGGGCTCAGGTAGTCCACTCACCTTGGCTTTCCAAAGCGCTAGGATTACAGGGTGAGCCACTGAGCCCAGCCATTTTTTCTTTTCTTTTCTTTTTTTTTGAGTTGGAGTCTCACTCTGTCGCCCAGACTGGAGTGCAATGGCCACTCCCGGCCACCGCAGCCTCGACCTGCTGGGCCCCAGCGATCCTTCTGACTCAGCCTTCCAAGTAATTGGAACTGCAGGTGTTATTTTCATTTTTGAATCAGAGTCTCTGTTGCCAGGCTGGAGTGCAGTGGCATGCTCATGGCCACCCTAGTGTCGACCTGCTGGGCTCAGGCGATCCTTCTGCCTCAGCCTTACAAGTGGCCAGAACTACAGGCGCATGCCACCACGCCGGGCTAATTTTTTGATTTATTGTAGAGTTGAGGTCTTGCCAAGATGCCAAGGCTATTCTCAATCCCACAGGCTCAGGAAATCCTCTCACTTTGGCCTCCCAAAATGCTGGGATTATAGGCTTGAGCCACCACACCCAGCCGAGGCTCTTTTTAAACTGGCCCTGTCTTCCCTATCCAGTCTCTCCTTTCTCACTTCTTTCATCCCTTTTTTGACCTTGTGTTTTCAGCAATACCAGATGTCTCCCTCTTCCTTCAAAGCCATGTGTTTTGGTTTTTTTTTTTTACGGCTTTTAATTTTTATTACAGAAAAAAGCTTCATTTCTTTATTCTGCTTTCTGACTCTGTGCTTGTGCCTTCAACACTTTCACGATGATTTTCTGCTCCTCGATAAGAAAAGCACGCTTGATCCTGTCACGAACACATTTTGCACACATGGAACCACCATAGGCCCGGCTGACATGTTTTTTTGTTTTGGACAACCTCATAAGAACTTTAGGTTTCACAGCACGAACCCCTCGAAGTCTGCCTGGGCACACACCACACGCAGACTTTGGTGCTTTCCCAACCTTCTTGGTGTATAGGTAAACAATCCTATTACCAGGCATTCGGGACAGCCTAGTTTTGTTAGAGGCTGTATTATAGGAAAGCCTGTGACGGTATGTCAAACGCTGGATCATTCTGAGTGCCTTTACACAGCGTCCCCGGAAAAAGAAAAAGGACAAAGCCATGTTTTTTAAGACTGAGCTATTGCTCATGCTTGTTCTCTGCTTGGAATACCCACCTTTCCCTCCTGTTCGTCAACATCCAGGTTATAGGTCACCTTCTCTGTTACATTCTCCCTTCTCTGCTGTACTCCAGTTTTGGAAATTTCCTGTTACAGCTTTAATACCAAGTGATAATCATGTACATGCCTAGGACCCAGAATGTGTTCAGTCAATGTTTGCTGAATAAATGAGGAAGCCCAAAGTGCCCTGTCTATGGTAGGGAATTGAATAATAATAACTAAACTATTGGATGCTTATTATGTATTGTGTTGAAGACTTAGCATCAATTACTTCTCACAGCAATCCTGAGAGTTTAAGTACTATTACAATTTTGATATTACAGATGAGGAAAACAAGGGCTAGAGAGGTTAAGGAACTGTCTCAAGGTCTTAACATAGGCAAGAAAAGGTGGAGCCAGAATTTGAACCCAGGCTGTTGGACCATAGACCTCTCTTCACCTACCATACCATGCTGGCCCTCAACTGCCCTTGCAGACACTGGCTTGTGGCAGTGAGTTTCTTCTGAAAGTGGATATTGTCTCTATCTGTGTAAGCCTGGACTCTGGGGCCTAGAGTTTAAAGGGTGGAGACCTGCCTTCCTATGACCCTTTCTCCACGCTGTGCTCCTACAGTTGACACTGCCACTACCATCTTTGGTGGTGGGCCTGGAAAGAACTGGACCTGTGAGTTACTTAGACATCTGCACTGGTATGCAGACTGCTGGTGTTTCCAACTACCCATTCAGCATTGCTGAAGGGTCAGAGGAAAAAGTATTTTTTAACATGTTCAGCACAGAATCCTTAGATGCCAAGGCAAAAGAACTGGGCTTCAATTTCAGCTTGACCACTAATGTATTTGCCTTGAGCAAATCAGAGCCCCTCTTTGGACATCTGAGCATAATCCTTGTTGTTCTTAATTGGGTTGTCGTGAGAGGCTAGTGAGGTAGTAACTTAATTCGAAATACACTCAACAGAGGATATTATGTATGCTTTGCAAAGCTAAAAAATAAAAACTTCCCTCAAGCCCTTTGTTATTTTGCTTTGTGATTTTTTTTTTCCAGGCCATCGCATGTATTCAGAGACCATGTGTTTGATCCTCTAGGATCCTAGAACTGGAGCAGTCCTCAAGGATGAGGCAGGCTGGTCCTAGGGATCTTCACAGTCTCTAAAACAGGCCAGAACGAAGTTCCTTGTATACCAAACTGCTTTGCCTCCTTACCTTTGCTCCTCTGTCTGGACCGCCCTTCTTCCCTGGCCTATCCCCAATATCGAGACTACTCAGGCTCTCCTGATTCTGTTGTCTCTCTAGAAATGCTTCAACAGCCACTCCCACCCCCCACCTAAGACCTATTAGACTAGACACAGTATAGTGAGTAGTTAAAAACTAACCTGCTTCACTGCCTGCTAACTGTGAGACCTTGGGTAAGTTTCTTATTTCTATGAGCCTCTATTTTTTCATTGATAAGATGAGGATAATACAACTCTCCTTGGAGTTGCCGTGAGCTTTCGTGCATGTACAGCAAGTTAACATGAGCAAAGTAAATTAATGCTGAGAAAAGCACTTACAAGAGCACTCATTATCTAATAAACATGGTAGGGCTGCTGCTATTTTCATTGTTATTGTTATTATTGGACCATTAGATCCTCCCGGGCAGAGACCCCACCTTAGCAGTCTGTCTTCATGTCATTAGGGCCTGGCTTCGTGTCTGAGATTTGGGACATCTGGTAGCTCATGGCTCTCCATACCCCTTGCTGTCTTGCTACAGACAAGAGAACCTTGTCTGTGAGGGATCAGAAGGTGACAGTTTCCTCATTCCAGGTTTGATCTGTCTTCATGTAGTCATTGAGACTGTGCTAGCCTTTTTTTTGTGAGTAGGAGTCCACTCTCACCCAGGCTGGAGTACAGTAGCACTCTCACGGCCACTGCAGCCTTGACCTGCTGGGCTCAGGTGATCCTTCTGCCGCAACCTTCCAAGTAACTGGAACTACAGGAATGTGCCACTACACCTGGCTAATTTTTTTATTTACTGTAGAGACGAGGTCTTGCCAAGCTGTCCAGACTGGTCTCTAGCCCCTGGGCTCAGGCAACCCTTTAGCCTCTGCCTCCCAAAGTGCTGGGATTACAGGTGTAAGCCACCACGTCCAGCTGTGCTGGCCTTTTGTGGCATGTCTTTTGAGGGGCCTCATTCACTTCCCTTCCATAATTCTTTCAACATGTATGTCCCTCCTGAGGGTCAGGCCAAGTGCTATTGTGAAAAGAACATTGGACAGGAAGACTGGAGACCTGGGGTCTGACTCTGAAGCCAATTTGGGCCTTTGTAGAAAGGAGCTTGCTTGCACTGGCAGTTTCCTACAAATTCTCTCTTCTCTGAACCTTCTGTTCATTTGTGTTCTTCCCTGAAGCCTAGAGAGGTTGTAAAATCTTAACACCTTCTACAAGTGAGGAAAGGCCCATGGCTCCAAACCTCAAAAGACTTAAAATCTAGTTAGAGTTCTAAGGAAAGTGTCCTTGTATTCAGTCATTCATCAGACACTCAATGAGGCCACCTCTGTACCAGACCTGTGCTGGTCACGTGAAGGGTAGCAAGGAAAAGAGAACTCCAAGCACAGAGCTTATAGACTATTGAGCAACAGAGTTGGAGCCATAATAAAGATAATCTAGGTACTTTTAGCCAGTACCTTCTCAAAGCAGGTGGGAGTATATCAGGAGCCACCTGGGAAGTATTTTCCTCCACAATTCCTTAGACAAAAAAGTCACTTTATCTGGATTAGTAGATGCATAAACCAGGCCTTGGAGGGTCACTACGGGAGCCCCCAAAGGCCAGAGGTTGAAACTTCTCTTCTGGGTCTGAGATCAGCTCCAGAGCAGGCCCTGCCCCCAGGAATCTGTGTGTCTGCTTTCTTCTTCCCATCCATATTCCTTTCAGGAGGGTCACGCAGCACAATGCCAGCTCTGCCCCTGGACCAACTCCAGATCACCCACAAGGACCCGAAGACAGGAAAGCCAAGGACTTCACCAGCGCTGGTGAGCTGGCACCTTGAGGCCGTTCAGCCTGATCTTTTCAGTCTTGCAATTTCAGAAGCAAAAAGTAAATTCCTTCTTTATCTGTTCCAAGAATGCCCCAAGGGCCATGGTCAGTAGCTGAGACACTGCTTTAAGCCCTTCCAGGCCCAGAGTAGAAGTTTCCTTCCAAGCAACAGCTTGAATTTGAGTAGGATTTTCCATGTCACCACCCCACACCTTACACCCAAAGCATTTAACTTTGAATCAGTCTGATGGCATTTCTGACTCAGCCTGAGTTGGGCTAGAAATGAATCTTGCCCAAAGCTGGGTTTGGCGATTTGACCCTGTGGAGGGTGTTCAGATTTCAGGTAAGACTTTTTCAAAGCTATCTAAGCTGCTATCCATACTTCAGTGGGAACACTGATTTCAGAGGTTGGGCAGTCTTTTATCTCCACTGGGATGAGAAACGCCACATACAAGCCCTGAGACTAAAAAATAAGGAGTCTGTGAACATGTTGATTACCAGCTGCAGAGAGAGATTAGAGCAGTGGAGAGGGGCTAGGCTGCTGAAGAAGGAGATAGGCACGCGTACTAGAGTCCCCATACCCAGTTGTTGTTTTCCTAAGAATATGAGTTTACTTGAACAAGGTGAGAGGTGTTTTCTAAGGACTTGAGTAAAGTCATGGGAAACAGGAGCTTGGTATTTTTTTTTTTCTGTTTTCTGGATGGCTTCTTATTACTTCCTGAATACTTTCTAATAATAGTACCTAACATTTATAGAATACTTGCCCTGTGCCAAACCATTCTGAATACTTCACCTGGATTATCTTATTTAAGCTGCACCACAGCTCTATGAATAGATATTTTGATTATCCCCATTTTACAGATAAGGAAACTGAGAGTTCAAGATTACAGAACTAGAAAATTAGGGGAGTCAGCATGGGAACCCAGCCATACTCATACCCTTAATCTTTCTACTATAAAGCCTTTCATTTCCTTTTTATAACCTTTTTATGTTTGGAGGCTATATATCAGAAAATCTAGAACTGTGCAGTACAATAGCTGCCCAATAGGTAACCATTCTCTACATGTAGCTATTGAGCACTTGTAAGGTGAATAGTGCTTGAAATCTGGACCGAGGAGCTAGATTTTTAATTTAATTTTAATGCATTTAAATTAAAATAGCCGCATGTGGTGAGTGCCAGCCCAGATAGAGAGTGGTTGCATTATTGTAGAAAGTTCTGTTGCACAGTGCTGTCAGAGACTGGCTCCCTGGATGTTTGAGTCTGATTTTCCACCTCAGTTCTCCCCCTGTGTACTGAACGAACACCTGAGGGGTTGTTAGACTATGGGAGCCATGAGAGCAGGGACCTGGTCCCTGTCCTTCACTCCTGGTTTTCCAGTGCCAGGAGCACAGTAGGCTCTCAGAAAACATTCAGTAAATGAGTCAGAGACCACAGCCAGGCCATGTGCCAACTGCTAGAGCTACTAAAAGGTGTGGTCCCTGCCTCTGTGGGGCCCATGGCTTAAGAGAAAAACAGACCAGTAGCTTCTTTACAGTGTGACTGAAGGAAGTCCAGGCTGCTGATCCATACTAGCATGATGTGTGGAAGCAGGGAGGTCTTGGGATTGGGAGAGGGCACATGCGGCTAGAGAGGGCTTCCCGAAAGACAGGGATTCTGAACTGAGTACTGAAGGGTGAATAAGCGTTAGCAGACAGAGTGACAGGAGAAAGGTGGACCTGGCTGAAGGACCTGAATATACAATCCTGGAGTCTTGAGAGAGCCTGATTTTTGTACCAACCACAAGTCACATGAAGTGGCACAATATATCATAGTTAACAAGCACAGGCTTTGTGTTAATCTCATGCATATTTGGCCGTGTGCCTTTGGGCAAGTTACTTAACCTCTGTAAACTGCAAAATCCAAAAGGGGGCAGTAATTGGGCCTAGCTGGGCATGGTAGCTCACACCTGCGATCCAAGCACTTTGGAAGGCAGAGGTGAGAGAATTGCCTGAGCCCAGGGGTTCGAGACCAACGTGGGCAACTTGGCAAGACCTTGTATCTACAATAAATTTAAAAATTATCCCAACATGGCGGCATGTACCTGTGTTTCCTGCTACTTGGAAGACTGAGGCAGAAGGATCACCTGAGCCCAGCAGGTTGAGACTGAAGTGGCCATGAGCGTGCCATCTTGGGTGACAGAGTGAGATGCTAACTAAAAAAAAAAAAAGAACCAGCTATGTGGGGTGTTTGTGTGGATTAAATGAGAATTAACTCTGTGAATTAGCATTGTGCCTAGAATATAGCAAGCACTCAGTAAATTGTAATTATTATGGTGATGATAGCAGTGACAGTGACAGCAGTACTGAATGGGGGATAGACGAGAAGAGGAATGAGCTGAGAGAGACAGCTACCTGATCAAGGAGAGGTCTTGTTGGCCATACTGAAAAGTGTTACTGTATAGGCCACTGGAAGCTCCTGAAAGATTGTGCTGAGATTTGTGGTCACCCTATGTTTGTCCCTTTAGTCTTAACTTGAGGCAAGATCTCTAGTCGAAGGGGAGTTACCACACTGCCTTTGCAGGGTGAGAGCTGGAACTCTTGTTGATTTTGTAGCTACTATTCGAATAGCACATACTTGAAGATCCAGAAGAAATAGTCTTGGGCCAGAATGGGTGAATGGACTCTTGAGGAAGACAAGACTCATGTAACATTTGGAGAATATTGCAAAACAGTTTCTTATCAAGATAAACAAGTTTGATGGGCAGGGAGTGTTCTGATATCTTTACAGAGCAGATAGGACCTAAGCCAGGCTCATTGAAGGGTAGAATGAACTTAAGTGGGAGAGAGGACACAGCTGGAGCCTGCTGCTGACATCTTCCATGGCCCCTCATTAACTTCAGAATAAAGTTTCCACTCTTGAGCTGGGCATTCAATATCCTTTGAAGACCTTGACAGGTTCTGATAATTTATTGTTTCCATTCATTCTTTGACCAGGCTGTAAATCTGTATGGAAAGTCTGCTCAATGCCATGCACTCTTCTAGAAACTGGAAATGCAGTGGTGAACAAGCTCAGACTCCTCCAAAGACCTGCATGCTAGTGGGGGAGGCAGCTGAGAAGGTGGCCCTCCCTTTTGTATAACATTATTGAGGGATAAACTGTACATATTTAAAGTATACATTTGATTGGTTTTGTCATCCGTATACACCTATGAAACCATCACCACAATCAAGATGCTGTATCGCTCAGACTGCGGGCTCAGGCGATTCACTCACCTCAGCCTCCCAAAGGCATGGGATTACAGGCTGAGCCACCGAGCCCGGCTTGAACATTTCTACCAACCTCAAAAGTTTCCTTCTGCCTCTCTATAGCCCATCCATTTCTCTCCCCTGTTGCCAGCAACCACTGATCTGAGAGCACTTTTGATGCCATTTAAGTGTTGCAGTCAGGTGAGCACAGAGTGCAGGTGCTGGGGGAGAGTATAGGTGAGCTCCTAATCCAATTGGGATGGGAGCTAGGGAGACTTTCTGGAGGAGGTGAGGCCAGAGCCGGAATTAGAAAAGCAAGCAGTGAGACTAGAATGGTACACGGATACCATTAATCATTTAGTAGGTCTGCAAAGTGTAAGCTTTGGTTCAAATCCTGCCTCAGTTGACTCCTTAACCCCATGACCTTGGGAAAGTTCCTGGACCTTACTGAGTCTTTGTTTCCTCCTCTGTAAAATGGGGTAAATGGTGACCTTCCTCCTATTACTGTTTAAAGAGTTGTTGTAGATTTAAAAAAAAAAAAATCAAGAAGAAGTAGGCTACGAGAAATGCCTACTCAGCACCCGGCACAGGGCAGGTCCTCAGTAAGTGGTGGCTTTCGTTATCATTCCAGTGTTCTCCAAATCCATCTCCCACTGCCCGGTGCAATCTGTGCCCTTTCTTTATAGGCTATGTTTATGCCTGCATAAAAATGTTCTTTTTTCCACTTACAAATCCTCATCCTCCAAGGCTCAACTCAGATGCTGCCTGTTCTGGGAAGCCGTCGCTTGTCCTACAAGCACTGTTAATTCTCTTCTGCGCTACCACAGCCCCTCTGCCAGTTTGAATGCTTACATTCTCTGTTTTGTGCTCACTGGGTGGCTTAGATGTGCATCTTGCCCCTGTAGGATTGCAGGAAATGTAGAATCTCAGGGGTGTGTATGTGTGTGTGTGTGGGTGTGTGTGTGTTGGGGGAATTAGTCACCTGGTCTGAGAGGTGGCCTTCCTATTACTGTTTCCCCCAGAGAAAGCAACCCTATGCATAGGAGGAATAGGTGGTTCTTGAGGAGGTGACCCAGCAGTTTCAATTTTTCTATACCCTCTGGACCAGCAGACCTGGAAGTGGGTGGACTGTCATTGATAAAGGCTGAGACACTGCCTGGCCTTCTTCCCATTACCACTTCCCCCAGAGAAAGCAACCCTCATGTGGTCAGAGGAGAAAACTGAGCCTATCTTCTCTTCTTTATAGTGAACAAAGTAAGGTTTGTTCGTGGCAATGTAAGGGCTGTAAGAAAGAACTTGTGATTCTAAGCTGAGAACTTCAGTTACTTGATTAGAATCTTTTCTTTTAAAAAAATTACTGAAGTTTTTTTTTTCTGATTATAAAAAGGATGCAGCATAGTGATATGTACAGTGTGATCTATTTGTGTAAGAAAGAAAAAGCAGGCCAGGCTCGGTGGCTCAGCCTGTAATCCCAGCGCTTTGGGAGGCCAAGGTGAGTGGATTGCCTGAGCCTGCGGGTTCGAGACCCACTTGGGCAACTTGGCGAGACCTCATCTCTACAATAAATCAAAAATTAGCTGGGCGTGGTAGCGCATGCCTGTAGTTCCAGCTACTTGGAAGGCTGAGGTGGAAGGATCGCTGGAGCCCAGCAGGTCAAGGCTACGGTGGCCGAGAGCGGCCACTGCACTCCAGTCTGAGTGACAGAGTGAGACTCCAACTCAAAAAATAAATAAATAAGTAAGAAAAAGCACACCCAAACATATATATTATATGGGTGTATTTTAGTGTAAATACCTGGAGGAGGCTCAAGGACACCCACCAGATGGTAAGAGTTACCTCTGGGGAGAACCAGGGACTGGGGGCATAGTCCCAAGCAACTCACTTTCTCTGTAGCGTTGTAAGTTTTTGAAAGAAAAGATGCTCATATCTTGCTTATATAATTAAAAATTAATTTAAAAAGTAATACATGTCTATTGTTTTAAAAATTGATCCCCCCAACTAGAGATAACCACTATTAGCTTTGGGGTATCACCCTCCCAACTTTTAAAAAATCTGTACCAGTGTATGAAAAAATACATATGTTTGTGTGTGTGTGTGTGTGTGTATATATATATATATATATATACATATATATATGTATATATGTGTATATGTATATATAGACATTTGTGTATATGTATGTATATGTATATATGTATGTATATATCTTTTAAATATATGTATATTTAAAACAAAAACCGATTATATTAAATAGATAGTTGTGTATCCTGCTTTCTCTTCCCTTAATTTTTCCCTGTGTTATTAAGTGCTCTCCAAAAACACGGTTTTTAACAATCGCCTAGCATTTCCTAGATGCAACCATGTCCCCTTTGCTAGATACACTTGGTTCTTTATGCTTATAAGCTCCTTGGAGGGTCACCGGTTAGAACAGCCAAGTGTTGTCATTGCTGTGGGTTGGCAAATGGGCCCTCGCTGACTAACCTCTGCCACGTTAACACGTGGTTTTTGGATCCGTAGCACCCCGAGCAGAAGGCAGACCGGTATTTTGTGTTATACAAACCGCCCCCTAAAGACAACATTCCCGCCCTAGTGGAGGAGTACCTGGAACGCGCCACCTTCGTAGCCAATGACCTCGACTGGCTCCTGGCCTTGCCTCACGATAAATTCTGGTGCCAGGTAACATTCTATCAAAATTAATGCTAAGACAAAGCACATGACATGCCGTTAGTTGCTGTTGTTGTTTTTCTTCCCCCAGGAGGTGCTTTTTTGTCTACTTCTTACACTGGATCCTTAACAGCAAACTGTGGTTTGAATTGCTGTCTTGTATCACAATCTTAATGATGTTTACACACCTTCCAAAGTGTCATTTTAGAAACTTGTGACTAGCCCTAGGCTCATACATACCTCCTTGGTCCCTTGGGGTTGGAGTGTTTGCAGTAGGCCAGGGCTGATGGGTGATGAGCCCCTGCACAGTCTACCCACAAGCCCCTAGGGCCTCAGGGTTAAATCCTCACTTTCTGTCGCCTGGCTTAGGTCATCTTCGATGAGACCCTACAGAAGTGCCTGGACTCCTACTTGCGCTATGTCCCCCGAAAGTTCGATGAGTGGGTGGCCCCGGCCCCAGAGGTTGTTGACATGCAGAAGCGCCTCCATCGAAGTGTTTTTCTCACCTTCCTCCGCATGTCCACTCACAAGGAATCCAAAGTAAGCCCCTGATCCCGGGACAGGTCGTCACCCAACACCCAGCACCTCTGCGCCCCGGCTGTCCACCCCTGGGAAGGAAGGCTCTGGAAGCATCGAGTTTCCTCTTTGTCTTCCATCCGCCTTTATTCTACTGTTGGGGAAGAAATCTGTGCCACCTCCCTTATCCTCTAATTCACAGGTCGGTCTGTGTTACAACTAGTGCTTTCATCAATGGGAGTCAAGAGCCCTTTGCCAGCTGACGCGTGACTCTGCCTTTACTTGTGCGTCAGAAGGAAAAGCGTTGATTCTGACTTCTTAAAGGAACTTGTATGCTCTTTTAAAAAAAATCTTTACTTTTCCCCCCCAACTTTAAAAATAAGAATACTGTCTCTAAACAACTCAAACTTTACAGAACTATTATATAGATGGTGAATGTCACACTCAAAAATCCCCTCCCCAAAATAGCCACTATTAAGGTGCATATTCCTTCGGGGATATTTTTTCTTTGTGTGTGTGTGTGTGTTTAAAAAATAGAATCTTTGAGACTGGGCAACTTGGTGAGACCTCATCTCTACAATACATCACAAAAACTGGCTGGGCATGGTGGCATGCATTTGTAGTTCCAGGTACTTGGAAGGCTGAGGTGGAAGGATTGCCTAAGACCAGCAGGTTGAGGCTGAGGTGGCCATGTGTGTACCATTGCACTCTAGCCTGGGCGACCAGAGTGTGACTCCAACTCAAATAAATTAAATAAATAAACAAAAATAAAAAATAGGATCTTGCTTTTTTTAAAAAAACTTATTTTTAAAAAAATTATTTATTATTATTATTATTATTTTTTTTTTGAGTTGGAGTCTCACTCTGTCGCCCGGACTGGAGTGCAGT